GCCCTCTCAGAGTTACTTAGTATCCAAGCCTCTCAATGATGGCTCCAACAGCCTGCTGGATTGCAACTTGGCCTCTTACTAGAATCAGCTGGAAGCTTTTTTGATACCCAGAGCCAGCACCTTACCCCAGGTCAAAATTAGGCCAGAATCTCAGAGACAGAGCCTAGGGTGGGGCTGTGATTTTCTCTTTGTTTTCCCAAGAGTGATGCTAATACAGCGCCTCAGTGATGCCCTCAGGCAAAGTTAAGCAGCACTACTCAAGGCTTTTGAGGTATGGACAAGACTTACACAATTAACCGAGGAAATAATAAAGCTCCTCTTTCTACCAACCATCAATTCTTACCGTCAATGTCAACTTTCTTAATTGTCAATTATTGCCTCAATGTCAACCCCAAGACTACATTTTATTGCCTTAACACTGCTGAGAGGAGCAGTGGGGAGACAGGCGAGGTCTGCTGCGCCCTGTGGGTCTCTCCCTGTTGCTGCAGGGGCTGCCAATAACTTGATAGCCCTGAGACTTAACCCCAGCACCACCAGCGAGGCCCTGCATCCAATTTTTGTGTGCAGGGAGCCAACATCAGGAGGGCTGGGGTTTGCAAGGATGGCCTGAGACTTCGTGGGGGTGGGGGGTATGCAGAAGCTCCAGTGTGGGGGTGTTGAGGCCTCAGAGCTGGTCACCCTAGGGCTGGGTGGAAATTCAGTGAATGAGGGCTGCTGACCAAATTGTCTTTCTGGGTTAGTGAGAATTTGGCACAAGTGATGGAGGCTGAGAGTAGAAAATTTGGGAAGGAGTCATTATGAGACCAGAAATTGGCTCACACCAGGTGAGAAGCTCGAGGTGGTGTTACAGGGCAGGGAGAGGCACCTATGAATCCTCAAATCTGCCTGTTCTGAATAGGTTCTGCCATCTGCCGCATCAAGACATGAGACACTGAATGGAAAGGAACTTTAATACAATTAATGTGCAATACAGAAAAGACAAAGAACATAATTTCTAAATCAAACACCTGAAGGTACCCAAGAGGGACTGGCCCAGAACAAGGCCTGAAAGCCTGTCATGAGACTGAAAAGCACCTTCTTGCCAGGACCCATAGAAAAGGGTCAGAAATGGCCAGACAAGTCTGGGAGAAAAAAGAGCAAAGTCAAAATCAAGATAAACGCTGCCATAGTCACCTCCCCACGTCTCTCCCCACGTCTGTTTCACCCAGTCCAGGGCCAGAAGCAAGCACACGGTTTCTTCACGAGTCTCTCTGCTCCCTGTGTCTCCCCAGGTCTCCTTCTGGCTCCATCCTGCTTCCTTCCTCCTCAGTCTCCTCTCCAGTCTCCTCTCTTCTCTGCTCAGCTCCACCCTCCTTCTGGGTGGGGCAGGGAACCTGGAACTTCCCCTTTTCTTGGGTCCACTCAGTCACAGGGCAGGTAGAGATGATGAACATAATCCTTAAGGGCCTTTGTGAAAGCTTCACTGCCCTTCCCAACTGACCTAGTCAGACCAAATACAGAAAAGAACGGAAGTTACAGTAGGTAAAATTCCACAAAGATGAGACCAACCCTTCCAAAGAGAAGGACGCTGGGAGGGAGCTCCCCTGGCCCCTGGCCCCTGGCCCCTGGCCCCTGCAGGCGCTTCTCTCCCACAGGGCAGCAGCCTCCGCTCCTCTTCAGGCTGCGACTGGCCTGTGTCTGGTCTGCGCAGGGTCTCAGCCCTGTCCCTTTCCTGGCAGGCTAGGGAGGGGAGGAGAGGGCCCCAGGCATGCTGGGAATCTGCAGGTGCCCCCACGGTCTGACCTGTGACCTCTGCTCTGCCTTACCTTTCCAGGCCGGGGGTTCCTGAGGAGGGGTGGCCGCTGTCTCCTCAGGCTGAGCCATTGCAGTGTGAGTGTGCCCAGGCAGACTGGGCAAGCGAAAGTCAGTGACTTTCTCAGCTTTAATGCTCTTTCTATGCCCGCTGCTGTGGGGCAAGTCCGCAGGCTGGCGAGGCAGGGAGGCAGGCAAGTCTTTACTGCCTGGGCTCTCTCTGGGGCTGTCTCATGCTCCCATCTCTCTGGTCATGCGTCCTCTAGTAACCGTTGTCCACTGTCCCCAGTCTCTGTAGCCCCAGCCTCCAGGCTCACCACGCCTCGCTCCAGGTGTCCACCAACAGGCATGAGTGCCCTGCGCCCACATCCCTGGAGGCAGGCGATAGCAGCAGAGGCCAAAGGCGAGAAAGCCTGACCATTTAACTCACACACAGCCATCCCGGGGAGTGAAGTTCTCTAAAGGCAGGTGGCTTTTCCTTTAGAAATTCACATGGTGCAGACAAACGCAATTTGGGGTGGAAGTAATTTGATAGTTACTAGTTTGGTCATTTACTTCATCCCATGCAATGACCACAGGACGGGTCTCTTGCTGCCCCCCAACCCCCTGATAAGCACCCCTATCTCCTGCCTTTAACTGGTGTGTTTAACGAGTCTGTATTCCCATATGCTAAGGAAAAAAGGAGGCTCCTAAGAAGATCATATGGAAATTAAACAGCAAGGGGCTGAACACCCGAGGGTTAACAGGCAGGGCTGGTGCCTACCCTTGCCAGTCTCCCCGAGCTCCAGATGCCGGCCCCCAAAGGACAGGCCGACATTTGCCCTAGCGGAGAATTAATTTTTCACTCCTTTGTATAACTCCCCCTGCCCTCTGTCAAAGGGCAGGACCGGGGTCTTTCAGACACAAGTCTGTTGCCCTCCTCAGCT